AGTATTTGTGAATGTTTACTTATAAGCAAAAATGTATTCGAGTTTTCGTTTGAGATTTTTTGAGCCATGTCATATGTACAAACCATATTTGTTACGATCGGCTGTTACATAACAATAAGTATTACTACAGTATAATTGTAGAAAAGTATTGTTAGCTTTGTACATATATCTCATTAATAGTCAGTCAAAGTAGAATAAAAGGGATAGTTCTAAATGTTCGGTTATGCTTTGCGTTGACACGAAGCTCAGGATAGGGATTTCATACATTTAGTGAAGACAGACGTGGTCATTTCAATTTTGAATGAAACTTCTTAAAGGAACAGTACTGTCACGGAACATGGATCACGCGTTTCATCTCATTTTCCTTTGACGAAAGTACAATTTCTAGATCAAAGCTGAGTTCTAGTGACACATACGTTACTTGACTACTTGAGACGTAGGTTTTAATTCCATCTTGAAACAGAAACGGGGTCAAATAGAATTACTCATCTCAACACTTATTAGATGCAAAAAGGAACGAACGACTGTGCCAGTTAAATTTCTAACGGAAATTTAGTGACGGTAATCAGCGTAACATAAGGGTCTTGTTTTGTAAACCAGTCGACAAGGATTTATTCTACGATTTGCAGATTTGACAGCGCTGGCTGCTGACTGCTGCTGATAATTTCTCTTTCCTCCCAAATAATATAGCTCAAAGTATAAGGTTTCATTCTGAAAGAACAAAATCTTAATTCTTGATTATCAAGAGACTATTATTTTATCCTCTCTGAATGACCGATTGACTGCTCGATTCTGAATAATAACTGACCATTTAAAAGAAAGCTATGTTTCAATAACAAAGTTATCTTTATTATTTTCTTCATCTTTTCCAGTGCTATCCATTTCATTGAATCTGTGAATATTAGCCCGCTTGTGCAGAAATTAAAGCACGAGATCTATATATTTTCAATCCGGGGCCAAGATGAAGAGAGTTGTTCTCGAATACGCAAAACAAATGAGTCCAATTATTTTCGATACAAGAAACATTAAAGCTAGTCCAAGGAGTTTTTTTAACCTTAGTTTTCTGGCGAACGTAACTCTTATGGGAAAAGCATCTTTTGCTATTCTAAACTAACTATATGACGTGTTTAAAATAAAAAAAAATTTACAAGTGAAGGGTAGTTTTAAAAAGATGCTACAGAAAAAATTAAGAGATAGAACCACGCATGTAGAATCTTAGAATGTTGCAGTTTTAGTATTAACCCTCGAAACGTATTCCAGTCCGTTTTCATGTTGACTCAGGGTTCTGACATTTCTGAGACCCGCCACCCACCCACCCATATATTATTTAGCCCCTCCCCCCTACGGAAATAGAGTGTCATTCAATGAGGCCTGTATTGTTTTTTTGATAGATAATCACTCGTTTTCCGTATGAAAATTAAGTGGACCACATTCGCTCCGTTTTCAATATTCCTGACAATTTCAGCATGAAAGTATGCCAATTACTCCTACGGAATATAGCGAAGTGCGCTCTCTTCAAGGGAAATGTTCACTTGGCCAGGCATGCAAAGTAAACATTAGAAAAAAGAACGATGCTCGAAAGTGAGGAAACCAACTAGACCAGATTCTTTGTGGTTGATCGAAAAGAAGTATGAGGGAATCGACGGAAACTGATAGAATCTCTTTCATTTGTAGAGACTGAACTGCTGGGAACAATTACGGGTGTTCAACCGACAGGGACGCTCTAGAGGACAGATAAAAACGGTGAGTGATTTGTACCGATAAAATCAGTTCGTGGTTCAGTGCCAAGTGCTGTCCCATAATGCGGACTGCAGAGTTCGAAGCAATTAGCTTCTTTGAATTACGTTGCTTGGTTTTAATGACTTAGAGCTAAGCAGTTGAAAGTTTCTCCATGAATTTGTTTTTCTGTTGGTAGAGTTGAAACGTGACAACTCGAGTGTGAAACCAGGAAGTAGTATTTAAAAGAGCCAGCCCCATCATTAAGAAAAATGACTCCATCCAAAATTTATGTTTCTGATCACGTTTCATCAAGAGAAGTAACAAATAGGAAATGTTTCTTCATTTAAAAAATCTGATAGAAAGATGAACCAGTAATGATCTCACCATTTACCGAAAATTAGCGACAGAAAGCGTAAACGAACACAACGCATGATTGTCAGCAGGCTTAAAGGTTAAAGCTCAAGGATTGTGGTTAAATGAAAACAACAAAAAGATGCCTGCGGCATCACGAAACGTACATTTCGATATATCTATCACTTGGAACCAAGTTACGTCCAAGTTGTAATCCCTATCGTAAAGTTTCTACGACAGGGATTGGATATTGCAAGACCGGTTTTATTTCAGTTGAGTCGATTGTGCATTTTTCTCATGCGTGTTTGCCCAAGAGCACTTAGTCGTAACCCGTTTAATGACTTAGTTTTCATTTCGATAAAACGATAACTTGTAACGGGCGAGATTGAGCTCAATTGGTAGAGCGCTGCACTAGTATCGCAGAGGTCAGTGGTTCGAATCCCGTACAGGCCTGAGATTTTTTTCAGGTCTGATTTTCACTATTGCTCAAATAGTGCTTTACTGCGAAGGATCGTGCACATATACGATACTAATTCAGTTAGGTACTAATTGTATGATCAAATGGAATAACAGAACTTTCTTTGACTGGCTTTCCTGACTGATAGCTGCAATTTGATATTCGCTCTTATGCCTGTCTGCACATCGTTCGGTATTAAATATATACTGAAACGATTATAGCCTACAGAGTCGGAGAAAGCAGTGGATGTTCACCTCCACTTTAGTAAATTATTTTTTCATATCTAAACTTTTTAGTATGCTTTTAAATTTGAATATGGTCCCTCTCCCCCCCCCTCCCCCCCCCTCTTCATTGAATAATCCAATTTACAGTATTGTAGTCTCAGATGCTGACGGGAGGGGAGCACTCCGAAGTAGACGGCCAGAACTTAGGTCTGTCAGACAAGAAAGAAACTCTTAGAAACTCTTAACGGTGGCCAATTTACATCATCAACCCCCCCTCCCCACACACACGCACACACACAGACGTAGCGCTACAATTTCTTTAGAAACTTACTCCCTTTATTTACAGGTCAAAACTTAGATCTGCCACAAGCGATGAAGAGCGTCAAAAATTGAAAATTGAGCTAAAATAACAGAGAACAAATCAACACCTTAACAGCCGAAACAGAAGAACTTAAGCAGCATGAAAACATGTCTGTTTAAGTAGGTTTTCAAATGACTTAAGATTTCTAAGAAAGTTCAGTAGAACGGTACGTGACATGAAGAAGGAAGTAGAATGAAAAGCAAACATTCACTGACTAAGCGACTTATGTATTTAAAAAGGAAGTGAATTTACATTGTAAAGTTTACATAATGAAGCAAAACTACTTAATGACAGATTGACAATAACAAAAATATGAATAGATTTATTCTAGTCTAAGGGCGTCGCAATGGTAAAGTGGCTGTGAAATTGTAACGTGATCTGTAACCAAACAAACCTTTAAGTGTGTGTTATGTGTGGGTTCCCAGTGTCTTTATCACCCTTTTACCTAAATGGGCTTCGTCTAAGCGACCAGTCATTTATCGTGAGGGAGGGGGGGAAGGATGTTTGAGAGGATCACATGGTTTTATGGGGAACGAACCGGGGAGACCTAGTTATCTCCAGTAGAGTATAAAGCGGGGAGGGTAAGAAATTGACTGCCAGTGAAGGGGGATCTTAAGATACTTACAGAGCGTTATGGAGTGATCAGGTTAATTTTATCGTGACAGAACCAAAATCCTCTGACCTTTCTCAGGTGATGATTAATGACTGGTGCCCAAAGAACGGTAATGTAAAATGAAGTTGAAATGGTAAATTAGCAACCGTTATGATTATAAAAGTTGAAGTTTCGAGCGTTAGCCCTTTTATAATCATAAGAGTGGCCAATGTATCATTTCAACTTTGTGGATTTATTCAAATTATTTCGTCACCCCCACCGACGCAGCGCCAAACAGTTTCTTTAGAAACTATCAGCCTTTATTCATATGTAAAAGGAAGTTGTGATGTGTGATGTTTTTGCCCCTGACGTGGAAATATTGCTCGAATGTAACCCTGGCCTGCTTGGTTCAGAGAGGAATTCAGACGGAGCCTGAGATTTGTTAATTAGGCTAACGCTATGGAATCATTCTCACATCAATACTTACCCCGTCTTGAGCTACGATCAATACTCCGTCAAATGTATCAGGGATGGAAAGCTATCTAACGTTATCGACAGATCATCGCAACTGAATTATACTATAACTGACTTGCACGTCAGTTTTACAACCACAAAATGAATAACTTCTGACAAATCAGTCAGTTTTTACCAACCAAGCTGACATCACTTGACAAACAACTGTTTACGTACGTAATCATAATGATAAACTCTGCCCTCACTTGGACGATCAGACTACAAGACCGACTGCTGTCTACTGCTGTCGATCCGTTTGATCGGCACAATCATCATGTTTATCTCCGTAATTTGACGATGAGTGGAGTTGTTGTCCAACTGTGCCTCGTTAAGTATAAATAACGCCCAAAACTACGTACAAATATCTCGCGGTATAGGGCCATCTTGATATCTCGGAGCTTATCCAGTACTTCCCAATAAAGATTATGGCTTCATCTTTCATTAATGTAAGCTTTTCAATGCCTCATTGGGATCAGTTTTTGAGTTTTGAGGAAGGAAAACATGGCTTAAAGCTATAATTCCATATTTGTGCTAAAAGAGCACCCTTGCTTTATCGGCCGGCTAATAAACCTCAGCTTGTTTTTAGAAAATATAGGGGGAGTTAGACGCTTCCAGGTTCTAAACTTCTGCGTATTTATACAACTGCATAATGTCCAAAAGATATATTTTTTAACAATGAAGTGGTATAACTTTAACACGCCAAAGTTCTGCGCTAGCTGAACACTATTTGCATTCTTGTCAGGAAAAGGACGAGAGGAAGGATAGGAAGAGTTCATATGAGGAATGGGTCAGATACTAACCTGCTCACCAACAAATAGTAGCAGTGAAGAGGAGACAATCACTGAACTTAGAAATCAACTGTCATCCTTGAGGGAAGAAGTCAGAAATAATCGTAACTGGGTTATAAATAGAAGTGAGGTTCAAATGCCGGTGATCGGTAGAAGTCTCGGAGAAGGAGCATGGGGGAGGGTGGTTCGGGGGACATTTTGCTGCTGTGATGTTGCTGTAAAAGAAATGCATAATGACATTGTATCTCCCCACAACATACGATTGTTTGAACGAGAAATCAACATGGCTTCGAGATGTCGCCATCCCTGTTTATTGCAGTTTATAGGAGCGACGGCGGACAATGCAAAACCGTTGCTTGTAACGGAACTCATGGACCGGAACTTAAGGTCTTTGTACGAAGAAGCGGAACTCAGAGAAGAGCAAGTCGCCGTCATCTTTCTGGATGTGGCCCGAGCTCTGAACTACCTCCACCAAAATACACCAGAACCCATAATCCATCGAGACATTAGTAGTGCTAATGTGTTACTATGGAAAAAGGAGAGCAATGGAGAGCAAAAGTTTCTGATTATGGTACTGCCAATTTTGTTCGTCAGTGCGTGAATAACTACGCAGGCGCTGTACCTTACTGTGCACCGGAGGTTGGTAGTACAAGGGGGAATAACAGGGTCAGCTGTAAGGTAAGGATCTTGAAGTCAGTTCTCGTGAGTGCTCTTTTCGCTTTTCTCTCTTTTTGTTCAAATGCTTTATTCGCTCTATTGATAGTTGTGTTTCGCCGCCGGGATGTTTTTGTTTTTTTCTTCAAACTACATTGACATGCCTGTAAAATATCAATAGTCCACGCTAAGAAAAGGAACAGAAACGGATGAAGTTACTTTTAGATTAATTTATTTCAGATTGATGTCTTTAGCTTCGGTATTCTTCTATGCGAAGTGTGCATCAGGGAACTGCCAAATCCTAATCGGCGCGTTCGTCAGGTAGACTCGATGAGGAGCATCAGATTTAGACCACTTGTACGAAGCTGCGTGAGGCAAGAACCCCGAGAGAGACCAAATATGGAGGAGATAATAAATGAATATTTGAACCAAACTAGTCAAACTAGTGGAACGTTATATCATTACAGTCAGGCCTTACCTACCGTTGACTCGCTAGTCATAGTAAGTTGTTAATCTACTGCTTTGTTAACAAATGAATATGATTTATTTTACACGATTTTTAACAATTTTCGAAAAGCTAGATAGTTCAGGATAGAATTGCAAAATCACATCTCAGGTTACCAGCATTACGTAAGGTTTTCTAAGGTCAGAAGTCTAAGTCAAGGGTATTGTATAACTTTTCAATAATTGAAAGGGGCTTAAGAGTCACTGACCACAAATATCAAGAATCCGCCGACAGTGGCAAAATTTCGTCATTCATTTCATTTTTCCTACAGGAACCATTTGGTGAACCTTTCCAAAACAACCATATCAAAAAGTTCTGTCGCACTTTACTTTCTCCGATTTATCGAAAAGTTAAAAAAATAAGCTTTAATGACCGCCCCCCCCTCCTTGCAAAACGTCGGAAAATTATGCAACTTCGGCAACTACGTACCTTGTGTGTCTCCCTAGTTTTTTGACAGCTGTTTTTGTCAGATGTTTTGCCTTGCTAGTCAGGTTTTCATCAAGAACAGTATTATGTGAGGGCTTTTCTCGCCCACTACTCACGCAGTGTTAAAATCTTGATCTCATATTACGAGAATTTTGTTCTTGCGGCGTTAACGTCTCCTTCACGGCCGTTTTTCGGAGGCGTCATGAAACGACGCTCCCGCTCCTTAACAAAATCGTTATGTTTTGATCTTCCCCCCAAAAAACTGGTTGGAAAGGAGACTACGCTTCGAAACAAGCAAATTGCTCTTTGGTTTTACGAGTGGCATATATATGGTTGTAGTTTTTGAAATGCCAGTTCTGTAGCGCGCTTCGATCACTTAAAAAATAACAAACACATTGTAGAAAATGGACAATGTTCAAAAGTAAAGTTTATTCTTGGTTTCCTATAATATTCCTATTTTGTGTAAATGTGAGTAATTTTTTTGCTGTCCTTTTTTTATGCATTTTGATCAAGTATTTGTGAATGCTTACTTTTAAGCAAAAATGTATTCGAGTTTTCGTTTGAGCTTTTTTGAGCCATTTCATATGTACAAACCATATTTGTTATGGTGGCTGTTATATACCAATAAGTATTACTGCAGTTTAACTGTAGAAAAGCATTGTTAGCTTTGTACATGTATATTTATTGTAAATCAGTTTGAGTAAAATAAAAAGAATTGTTCTGAATGTTTGCTTATGCTTTGTGTTGGCACGAAGCTCACGATGGGGATTTCATACATCTAGTGAGGACAGGCGTGGTCAATTTTGAATGAAATTACTAGAGGGAACTTTTGTCACGGAAAATGGGTCACGCGTTTCATTTTATTTGTTTTTAACGAACGCACAATTTCAAGATCAAAGCGGCATTCCAGTGACACATACATTACATGAATACTTGAGACGTAGGTTTTAATTTAACTTCATACAAAAACGGGGCCAATTAATTAGAATCGCTCATCTCAACACTTATGCAAAAAGGAACGAAAGACTGTGTCCTAATGTTCTACCGGAAATTTAGTGATAGTAATCAGCGTGGCATAAGGGTCTTGTCTTGTAAACCAGTCGACAAGGATTTATTATACGACTTGCAAATTTGACAGCGCCGACTGCTGACTGCTGCAGATAATTTCTCTTAGCTTTCCTCTCAAACAATATAGCTCAAAGTAAGGTTTCATTCCGAAAGAGCAAATCTTAATCCTTGATTATCAAGAAACTATTGCTCCATCCTCTCTGAATGACCGATTAACTGCTCGATTCTGAATAATGACTGGCCGTTTAGAGGAAAACTATGTTTCAATAGCAAAGTCACCTTTATTCTTTTCATAATCTTTTCCAGTGCTATCTATTTCATTGAATCTGTGAATATTAGCCCGCTGGTACACAAATTAAAGCAGAACAGGGACATACTCCACTTCACACGAGATCTACATGTTTTCAAGCCGGGCCCAAGATGAAGCGAGTTGTTCTCGAATACGCAAAACAAACGAGTCCAATTCTTTTCGATACAGCAAACGTTAAAACTAGCCAAAAGTGACTTTTAACATTGGTTTGCTGGTGAACGTAGCTGTCACGGGAAAAGCATCTTTTACTATTCTAAACTAATTATATGACATATATAAAACAAAAAGTTTACTGTGAAGGGTAGTCTTAAAAAAGATGCTGCAGAAAAAAATCAAGAGATGGAACCACGCACGTAGATTCTTAAAATGCTGTAGTTTGAATAATAATCTTCGAAACGTATTCGAGTCTTTTTCATGTTGACTCAGGGTTCTAACATTTCTGAGACCCGCCCCCTACCCACCCATATATTATTTAGCCCTCCCCCCCTACGGAAATAGAGTGTCATTCAACGGTGCCTGTATTGTGTTTTTGATAGACGATCGCTTGTTTACCGTCTGAAAATTAATTGGACCACATTCGCTCCGTTTCCGACGTTACTGACAATTTCAGCATAAAAGTGTGCTATATTCTCGTTCGGCATATAGAGAAATGCGATCTCTTCTAAAGAGATGTTTACTTGGCCTCTAAAAAGTTGCAAGGCAAAGAATTAGAAAAAGGAACGATACTCGAAAGCGAGCAAACCGGCAACCAGACCAGATTCTTTATGGCCAATCGAGAAGTATTTTTTAATAGGAACAGCGTTGAGGGAATTGACGGAAAGTTAGAACTTTTTTTATCTAGAGAGGCTGAACTACTTTTGGAGATTATTTCTCTTAAGGAACGATTACGGGTATTTAACCGACAACGACGCTCCGGAGGACAGACAGAACAGGTAAGTCGTTTGTACTGATAAAGTCAGTTCGTGGTTCAGTGCCAATTGCTGTCCATCAGTGCAGGACAACAGAGTTCCAAGCAATAATCTGCTCTGAATTGCTTTGCTTGGTTCTACTGACCTAGAACCAAGTAGCAGTTGAAAGTTTCTATATGAACTTGTTTTTCTGTTGATGGAATTGATACGTGACGACTCCAGGGTCAAACTAGGAAGTAGAATTAAAAAGAATCAGTCCATCATTAAGAACAATGACTCCAACCAAAATCACACGCTCTTATTCACGCTCCGTCAAGAGAAGAAGTAACAAATAAGAAATGTTTCTTCATTTGAAAAATCTGACAGAAAGATGAACCAGTAATGATCTCGCCATTTACCGAAAATAAACAACAGACAAGCGTAAACGGATACAGTACATGATTGTCAGCTAGCATAAAGGTTACAGCTTCAATGAAAATAACAAAGAGATGCTTGCTGCATCACGAAACGTACATTTCGATACATTTGTCGCTTGGAACCATGTTACGTCTAAGTTGTAATCCCTGTCGTAAAGTTTTTAGCTTGGATATTATATGCAAGACCAGTTTTATTTAATTTAAGTTGATTGTGCATTTTTTTCCCATGTGTGTTTACCCAAAAGCACTTAGTCGTAACCCAGTTAATGACTTGGTTTTCATTTCAATATGGCGATAACTTGTAACGGGCGAAATCCTGCAGATCATCTGGCGGGTTAAAATGCATTCATCTCTAACTAGCGGTGTCTCCAATCGACTTCAGTTTTTCTAGAGACTTGATGTGTAAAATCTTTGCGAAAAATTTAGAAACGCCTTCAAAGGTGGATTCAATAGTCGTAACTTACCGAACAATTGGGCACGATTTTATGCAAATTATTTTGTCTAGTTGTATTGAAGGTTTGTACTGACTTAAATCAGTCAACACTGGACTCTTGCCAATCTTATATAGCGTTCACAAAAGCATTAAGTTAAAGAATTTCAGGAAACTAAATTTAGGAGCTGGGTAGAGGAAGAGAAGTTGTAATCTGCTTTGCGACGAGCATGGAACAAACAAGAACATCTGAGTTTCCCACTTGGCAAATTACTTGGCATACAAACCCAAATACAAACATACCTTGGCAAACCCCTTGCATTGCGCCCCTGCCCGATGCTTTGAATTCCTAGCGGGGGAACTCTTCTTTTCGACATGCTCGGAGAACGAGCTGAAAACTCGCCATGTTTCTCATTTTACGGTAGGAGGGCTCGTAAAAATAGTTGTTGCAAAAATCAGCTTCATCCGTTCATCCGTTAAAAACTATACAGCTCCTATATTTTGCGAAAACATCTGCCATCCCTGA